CTGTGCCCAACTCTACTCACTGTTTCCCATTTTGGCTTGTTTGTTTAAACTTTAAATAAGGTTTGGTTTAAACAAAATTTCCTCAGCAAGCTGGTTTTAAACATTTTAAGGTTTTAGAGGACTGGTAGGTGCTTTTGATCAAAGCACAACATCTAAGAAAGGAAAACGCAGGTCAATGTGCATCCCCTGCTTTAATCTGACCGTAGTTTTCTGTTTCTTTTGATCACCAAATAGTAATACCAGGAATCACCTTTTTATAGATTATTTCAGAGCTGTAGGAGACCATAAAGATTACTGCCAAATCAACTCAGCATTTCTCCGGCATTCTGCAGTCCTTTGCACCATGAATGCCCAAGATGGGGCGGCCACCACTCCCCATCACTGAGACTCAATGAATCTAAATTATTTTTCCAAGCTTGCTCACCTGAATGTACATTGGGTTAACACAGTGATTCTTATTCTTGCAGGGCTCATGAACCTTGGAAGTCTGGTAAAAGCTATGGTCAGACTTCCTCAAAAAATGTACATTTGCAATTTTTTAGGCACTTTCAAATGGTTCATGGACCCATTAAGTCTATCCATTTGTTTAATGGATCCAAAGTTCAAATCTCTGTGTTAAGTATAAGGCAGCACCTTGGCTCATTGGTGACTGACAAGGGTTTGGGGTGGAGGTATGGAGGATGGATGATGCTTAAAAATCTTCCTTGAGTAATAATTTTCCTCTGCAACTTGCTGGGGGAGCGTGGCAAGGGCAGGTCTTCTCACATCTGCTCCTGCTCTACCATGTAATCTTCAGGATGGTGCTGGATCTAGAAGGCTAACGAGTTAAGAACTCTGTCCTGGGTCACTAATCAAGTTAAGTGTTGAAACAAGAGGAAATTCCTCTCTAGGAGAAGCAGCCACATGCTCTGCTAATTTTTAATGTTCTCTGGCAGCCTGGTTCAAACTGGAAGTCACTGGGAAGGAGTCCGAGACTGGGTCATTAGAATAACATCCTGCACTTGTGTAAACCTTCAGTAAGCATCGTGATTATCTTTGATTTTTCTTTTCCAAAGAAGTAAAAGTGATTGTGGGTGAAGAAAGAGCAGAGAGAAAGTGGAAGCAGGAAGTGTTTTTCCTTTGACCTTACATTTCACAGAAAGAGGTACCAGAGTCCAGTAGACTCCTGTCCCATGGCTTGCCAGTGTTCCAGATGGCTGACAAAGTGAGAAAGAATTGTGCCACAGAAAGGAGATCCTGCTCTCCTGTCTGCATTGTAGACCATAGCTTTGTACTTCCAGAAAGGATGAATCAATGTCTCTCCCTCCATCCTTTGTCCTTCTGCTCAGACACTGGGGGAGGAGAAAGCAAATTTCAATCTAACCTCTGAACTGAGTGTGACTTTAAAAAGCTCTAGCACCAAAGGGGGCCTATATAAGGAATGTATGTTCTTACTAACAGGCAGTATCACTGACCCAAGCCCCCTCACCTACTGCCCGCAGAGACCCAGAAGTCTTCCATCAAATGGTAGCAGGGAGCGAAGATCAAGGGTTTCTCCCTTGTTTGGACCCTTCACATCAATCTGTCATCAAATTCTGTTGACTTTACCTTCTGATGAGATACCTGGCCACTTCCCAAATTTCTACCACAGTGCCACACACTAGCTTAGACATAATCATTTCTTTCCAGACCAGGGCAATCATCTTCTAATGGATCTCTTTTCCTTCAGATCATCTATCTCCAATTCTTTCTCTAAAATGCATTAAGAATGATATTCCTAATACAAAAATATGATCATACTGCTTCACTACTTAATATCCTTCAACTGTTCTCACTCCCTGAGCAATACATACAAACGCTTCAAGATGACACATGCAAGACCCTTCAAGACATGGCCTCTTCCTGTTTGTCTATTCTTGTCTCCTGCCATTACCCCTCAGTCACCCCCTACCCACCCCCCACAATTCTACAATGCATTTAAAACAAAACGTCTTGTAATTTCCAGAATGCACTGTATGTTCCCTGTGTTCTTATGCCCAGAGTACCGTCTTCTTCTGTGTCTGCTGAGCTCCGTAAGTCCAAATATGTCCTTCTCAAAGGAGATTTTCTATCATAATTGCTTCCTCCCCAACACCAAGATAGGTGCTCCCTTATTATTATCATCTGTGTTTTTCCCCATTATTTATTTCAATGACTGTTGATTAAGTGCCTGCAATGTGTCAGGGTCGCCATGTTGGACAGAAAGGTCAAGGCAGACTTCTCCAAGGAGGTGATGTTTAAGTTGAGAGAAGAATGACCAGAGGAAGCCAGCCAGTGAGAAGCAGGAGGAAGAGCATTAAAGGCAGAATAAAAAGTGAATTCAAAGGCCTTAAGGTGGAAGCAAAGTGCACAGTGTTCAAGGAACATGAAGACATTAGTGAGGCTAGAGTAGAATGAGCAATGGGGAGAAGAATATGAGCTGAAGCTGGAGACAGATCACTCCAGGCTTTGGGCTCCAAAATAAAGGCATGAGATTTTATTCTAAGTGCAATGAGAAGCCAAGGGAGACTTTTAAGAGAGGTAATAATATGGTCTTATTGATGTTGAAAATTGGGAGGTCTGGGGCCAGATATTGTGGGTCTCAAATTATAGGGTTCTGAACAGGAGAGTGCCATGCAAAGATACATCTAACAATGATATTTTTTGATGAATTAGAAGCAGGGAGGCTGAATTACAAAAGGAGAAGCTATTGTGACAGTCCCAGTGGGAGTTAAAGAGGGCCTGGCTGGGGCTGGGGTTGATAGGAATGCAGAGTGAAGGTGGATAGAGTCATTGAGAACGCAGAGCTATACAACTTGCTGGTCGCAAATCCCAGATATCACAAGACATTACAACCGATACAATATTAGTTCCCTTAAGTTCCTGGATAGCAGTAATGGTGGCATGACACAGATATCAGTAGACCCAGCTTAAAGGTAGAAGAGAAAACACAGTGAGAAAAAAAGGTTTTCTTTAGGCCGGACAGTGAATTACAAATAAAGACAGGAAGGGGCCCAGGACATCAACATTTAGAATCAAAGCATATATTGAAATTAGACTACTGATTGCCATTATTTAGGGTGAAATATTAGCATTAAAATTAAAGTACTATACTTACAAACTTTTAAAAAGTCTGTTGTACCATAGCTGGGTTATATCCCTATAAACATAAAGGATTTGCTTTGTATTTTGACTTTATAAAATTTTTCTTTGGTTTTCAATCAGAGAGGTTAGATACCTAGAAGTGAATGTGATGAATTTCATTTATGAAACCACCATGTACTTACTCTCTAGGGTTAGGTCCAGGGTCTTTTCTCAGTCCCGCCTGTTATGTAGTAAATCATTCTGATTTTTGAGGATTGATTAATAAGTTTCCACTTACAGAACACTGAAGGTGCACAGTTTAAGAGCTGGTGGCCAGCCCAGGGGCTGAACCATTTAGTTGCATTTTGAAAAACAGGTAATGCAAGGAATATTAAGGATTGGAAGCCACAGACCTAAGACGGTTAAAAGGTATAAATGAAAGAGAATCCAGACCTGCTCCTTAGCCTGCTAAAACCTTGACTAACATCAGCACAAGTTAAATGTAAATTCCCAACCAAGAGCTCCTCCTCTGAGATCTATCTGATTGAAAACACTTCACCAGACAAATAAATCTTAACTTCATTTTCTCAGGTCCTAAAAGTTAACTGAAACCACTCTCTGAAATGGAAGCAGTACTTACATAGGCATTTTGAGGTTCCTGAATCTTAAGGGCCAAAAGTGCTCAGAGAAAAAGGAAGAGGTCTCATCTGCGAAATATTTTTTTTTAAATGCCAGGAGTCCTTAGTCCTTCATTGCAGGGTTCCAGCCTAGCTTCAGGGCACGAATTGAAGCATAAGGCGTAGGAGGCAATGAATCGGGTTCTTACCCTGGGTCCACATGGAGGTCTGGGAGCCTCCTGCGGCTGACTGCAAAGGCTGGTGTTTATGTAGGTGTTTACATTTTCATATGGGAAAGAGGACTTGTAGCTTCCGTCAGAATGTCAGAAAACTCCACGATCCAATATGTTTATACTTTTGAATTAGAGGAGGATACCAAAGAGAATAGAAGGAAGAGAGAAATAACTGCTCCTTCATTTAAGTTGACCAATTCAGAAGTATGACATGCAAAAAGATAAAACAAAAGGAATCCACATTCTTGTATCATCATGGTTCAAACTTAGAACAGGCTGTAAGTCCTTTCTCTTCTCTTCCTCATCCCCTTATTCTTGTTTTCCCCAACACAGAAAACCCTCATAGTAAGTATTTGAAATTGTGCTACAGCAAAGCAAAGAGGTGAAACGAGTCAAGCATAAGCACTACCTTTTTATGGAGTCCCACAGAACAGTGCCCAAAAGTAGAGACCTGTCTTGTTCTTCCCTAGCCACACACTACAGGATTTTGGACCATGGGACAGGGTGGGATATTCTAGGAAAGTTGGGGATAAAATTAGAAGTAGCCTAACCGTGTGTATCTTATCTAGAGTAACATTACTGAGTTCAAAATGCCTACTTGTCCTTGGATCATCCAGGGATCCCAAACCCCACTATACCCCAAGCATTTTCTCTCTCTTATAACAATAATAGCTTACATTTCTTAACCACTGACTTGTGCCAGGCTCAGATCTAAAGACTCTCCAGTCTTATTTATTAAATAATCTTATTTAATCCTCACAACGACACTATACAGTAAAGTATTATTAGATCCATTTTACAGAAGAAGAAACTGAGTCACTAACAAGATTGAGACATAGGGAAGAAATTGAAACTATGTAGATATTCCAGATCAGTCCCAGAAGACTTGTAGGGCTCACAGAACCGAACAGCTCACAGAACACTGAGAAAGCGTTCACCTGTAGCCTTGTCCCAGGACATTGCTTGTCCCCTTGTCCCCTGCATTGCTCGGGCTGCATTGCTCAGCCTTCCATTTTTCCCAGAGACAGGAGCAATCCTGGAAAAGGGGGTGGCAAGTTTACCGAGATCTACTCTCGGAGGGTCCCTGTAAGTTCTAGCAGGAAGAATAGCAGCTGCAGAGCCAGAGGACAGGACCCAGATCCCAGCATCGTCTAGCCTAACGGTGCAGCCTAGGTGAAACACCTAGCCTTTGTAAGCTACAACAGCTTCATTTCCAAAATGGAAATAACCTCACCTCACAAGGATGCCGGGAGGGTCAAAGAGGGCAGCAGGTTTAAAAGTACTTGCAAACACTAATGTGCTGTTCACCATAAAACTTCATGTCTGTTGCTACTCCTCACTTTCTGAACCTTTACCTGCTCCATTCAGCCCCAGATGACTACAACTCACTTCAATCACTTCCCATACAGAAGAAAAATGAACTCACCATCTCCTCTGTGACTCTGCTGGTTTTCTGCCTTCTGCCCAACCCAGACTTCTTATAGTCTTGCTGCCTCCCCTCAGTGTCAGGCTGTTTAGAAAAACAACTTCCTATTCATGTTCCAGAAATTCACCACAGCCCTTCCCATGAAGTTAGAATGGTGATAACGCAGGAGCAGTGTTGGCAGCTAAGCAACATCAGTTGCCAAGGGAGTAGGGATCACCCCCTTCCACGGAGATGGTCTGGAGATAGGGGCAAGTGTGAATCACTCTGGACATCCCAGACTGAGCAATGCAGGAACAGCGCTCACACCCCCAGGGCCCAGATTTCCTTTGATTATGATGTGAGCCCCAATTAAGGTCATACACTGGAAAACACGCTTTGTTCATAATAATGTCCTAGTGTAAATTTTCCAGTTATTGTGAAAGGTCAGTGAACGTTTACCATTCCAGCAGCCTTCTGAGGGAAAGAAGCAAAAATGATAGCAAATAATAATAATAATTAGGTAGAAAAGGAAAAAGTCACTGAGGGTTTTCTGGCACTTGGGGAAGATTTTTGGTAATAGTTCTGAAATGATATAAAACAGATGTGGATCATTTAAAAGGAACTCTGCTTCTTATGTCAGAAAAAAAAAGGGTATCAAATGAAAGGGTTAGTTTTCTTCTTCCCAGGGAGTGTGTGGGACTAAAAAGCTGTTGGCACAGTGGTTAAAACTTGGGCTGTGTCAATAAACTGCCTGAGACCCATGCTGGCTCCACCTCTGGCTGGCCATTGGGCAAATTACTTAAACTCTCTATACCTCTGTTTTCTCAACTGTGAAACAGAATGATGGAAGAACTTCACAGGGTTGTTGTAGGATTAAATGAGTTAATATGTGGAGAGTGCTTAAAATGATATCTGGCACACAGACGACACATACTCAACAAATGTTAGCTATTATTAATACTTTTCAGATGGGTCTCAGACAGCAAAATCGAGCATCAAGTATTTAGTACCAAGTCAGAAAGCCATAACTCCAATTTATCCTCTTGGAATTCTAGTTGTGCGGTAGTGGGTGTTATTCTTCATTCACTCCATGATTGTTGCAGCTTGTAAATAGGCATCTCATAGATTAAAAATGGAAAGAGCTGGAAAAAAGTCTGAAAGAGAAATTAGGGAGTGTGAGGCTGCATTTGCACTTTGGAATTTGGGAGCAAGAGGAGGGGATTCATTACATAGAAGAAGTAGAAAGACCAGTGAAGGAGGTGGTGATGAAGGAATGACCACAGGAGAATATGGAAAGTTGAGGGAGAGGAAAGAGTAGGGAACTTTGCGGCAGCATGATGCAGGGGTTCAGAGTTCACACCCTAGAGCCAGACGGCGTGGCTCCACCACTTACCAGCTATGTGATGGGGAAAGTTATATTACTAACCTCCTGTGACTCAATTTCTTCAGCTTTGTGAGCAAATAAGGATATTAGTCACCAAATGCATAGAAAGTTAGGACAATTAAGTGAATTTAATATGTTTGAAATAATAACTACCACACTGTAAGTGCAACATAAGTGCTGGCTATTATTTTTATAAGACTTGCCTTCATTTCTTTCTGTTTTATTTTTACTCCCCAGCCCCTCTTTTTGGCATTGCCTCATTTTAAATTTTTTTTTTTAATTTTAGCATTTTACAGGAGGACAAATGTTTAGATTATATATATTGCTTTTGCCAAAGGCACACCTAAGTCAGAGCTTCAGGTGTGTCCATCCCCCAGATATTGCCCCATTTTTAAAAAAATCTCTCAGATGAAAATGAGGGAAGATACTGTCTAGATTGATAGGTTTTTACTGATAATAAGTTTGATTGACAATAAGTGTCTTTAAATTTGATAATGTTAAATATTAGTGAGCATGAAGAAAGCAGAAAAAGATTCCTAGGGAGGCGACATCAGCAAGGTGGTGGAGTAGGAGATACAAGCCTTCATCATCCCACAAAAAAACAAACACAGACAGCTATCCACAACCCAAAATATCCCTAGAAGGACCCCTAGGCTCATTTAAGAATCTGCAATACCACAGTGGAGCAAAAAATCAGAGAATATCTGCACAGAAAAGATCACTCCATGGCCACTGATCATCAGACACTGTTACCACCACCACCATGAGCAGGCCCACAAGTGAGACCCAGTGCCAAGAGGGATGCTCTCAGTCACAGCTTCCCAGGTGGGAGAAATGAGATCTGGAGGACCCTAGCAGTCTTTACCACTGAAAACCTCAACAGCCTCATTGCCACTGCAGATTCCCATAGCCGTGGCCTCTGAGGACCCCTGCAACCTTCACCAACATCAACCTGAGTTGACAGATCTGCATGAAGATTACACAGCTGTGCCCTCACTGGAGTTGAGCATCCAGCCCAGCCAGTGCCCTCAACCCTCCTATACTTGAAGGTATTTTCTGACCAAAACTAGACTGTAAAGCCTGGAATTGGTGCTAATCTACCAAATGCCCAAACATCAGCGTGAGCCAACAAGAAACATGAAAAAGCAAGTTAACATACCACCACCAAAAGAATGATAATTTCCCAATAGCTGACCCAAAAGAAGTAAACTGCCTGACAAATAATTTAAAATAATTGTTTTAAAGAAGCTCAGGAACTTTGAAGTGAACACAGAGAAACAGTTCAATGAAATCAGAAAAACAATAAATGGACAAAACAAGAAATTTAACAGAGAGATTGAAATCATAAAAAATAAATAAA